GTCCAAAATTTATGAGTTATGTGGTATGTATATATAAAAAAAATTATTACCTAAATGATTTTCAGTGCTTAAAGTTGGTTCAAACTCAAACTAGCTCAAAAGATAAATAATTTGACTTGCTTGTTATTGCTAATTGAACACGTTTATAGTGAAGAATAAATGATATTCTTTTAAATCTTTATTATATTTGTCTTTAAGAGGCTTTTTTTTTTCTATTCGTCCTGGGCCTCATATACGTTTGAACTGGCCCTGCTTGTGGCATAAGATTTCGATGTGGTGGATGTACATATTCTTTTGTTATACCAATATACTGGATCATTTAGGCAGATACTCTATGATTTAAAACATTTTTCGTTTGATGCAGCTGTTCTTACTTTTGATTGGGTTATTTGGTCGTTCCACAAGTCTTTCACGTTTCATACCACAAAAAGGAGAAAAACCACATTATTCCATAGCATAGTTTTTTTAAGTCCTTTTCTTAAGTTGTGTTTGTCTCATTGTAATTTTTCTAGGAAGTTGCTGATTTTCAAATAGAATTTATGCCATTCGAAAAAAAAATCATTTCCTTTTGGGTCATCTAAACTTTCTAAGTCCATTTTTTGAACGATCGCAATTAGATAATAAGGTGATAATATTTTCACTAAATCCTTTTATTTGATTCATAGTACAAACAACAAATATAAGGTTAACTGAGTTGGTTGATTATACTTATTTCACCTTTGTATCTTTTTAATGTCAATTGAATAGCTCTTTGTTAGTTTCCTAATAATAAAAAAGTGAAGTTATATAAAAAAGTTAGAGATTAATATAATCTTATGTTGACTTCACTAGTTAATCTTTGATTTCACATCTTATCTGTATAGAAAAACCTTACATAGTCGAAACAATGAGCTTGTCTTTTACTGTAGACAAAAGAGTATTTAAAGTGGAAAAAAGAAGACTAATAAAAGGAGTTGTACAAGTGACAGAGCACAAATTTGTGGAAATGCATGCATGACCATTATCTGATACGTCCATCCTACTGCTGGACAAAATGGGCTTGTCTCTGCGACACACCATAGTGCGCTTCTCTTCTGCCGTACAATTCATGTCCCTTTTACAGGTAAACTTCCTTATCAAGTTATTTTAATTTTAACTTTATTTAAAAAAATAATAAAATCGTACATTTGTAATATGTTGCAAGCTTTTGTACCTTTACGAAAATATATTTGCGTAAAGTAAACATAGTACATAAATTGCAAAGTACTTTGGTATTAAGGGTTTAGTAGTTTTCTTTTTCAATAACAACACGATTATATATGGGAAAATCACAAAAATTGTGTTTATGGATACTATGGGTAGCTAAAGTAACGAAGCATTAAGCGATAAGCAAATGTAAATGATTGTAGTTGTTGATATTTTGTATGAAGAGTAGTTATGGTTATATTTGAAAGATTAGCTGAAAAACTATATATAAACTATATGTTAAATTATCTTATAAAAATAATGATAATGATGTTTGATAAAAATCTGATAACATAAGTGAAAATATAAAATTTACATAAAATAACATGTAGTATATATAAATAATTGTTGGAACTCTAGTTGATGATATGATTGATAAATAATTTAGGGCATAAATTACATTAATGGTCCATATGGTTTGAGTTAATCTGCGCACGTGATCTTTAATTTTTTTAATTTTATTATTATTATTATTATTTTTTAACTTGGACATCCCTAAGATATAATTTTGTTGCGTGTTTGGTCTCTAAAAAGACTGTATAGCCCTTGATGATATATTTTTATTTTGTTAATTTTTTTATTATTTTAATTGTTATTAAATAAAGTAAATTATTAGGACATTAGATAATGTTGTATTTAAAGAAGTCATTGGAAAGTTATGATTTAACACAATTATTTAAAATATGTTAATAATTTTTTATTAATATAGATTTCATTGCTTACTTATTCATCATTTCGTTTGTATTTATTTTAAAATTGACTTTAAAAAAATATTTAATGTTTGCCCATTGATATTTAATTCTTTTAATCAACTCGTGTAGTATATAAGTCTCACACAAAGTTATTTAATATATTGTTACGATAAATTAGAGTTTTGATTTGTCTTCTAGTATTTATGTTTACTAATATATAATATTTTATTATGCCAAACTTTTATAGATTAAATTGTTAAATTAAATGCCAACTCCAATGGTAACTCAAATGATTAGCTCAATTTGATTTGGAATTGAAGTTCAATTAAGACAATTTTATGTAATATATGTAATTTTAAACAATGATATTATATTAATGCACAAAGGTGATATGAGATGTTTATGTGGCGTACTAATTCTTTACGTATGTTTGAAACACTCAAGTGTTGGTCATAGCCAAAATGAAACCAACATTCAAGTAGAACCTTAGTTTAGTATTTTATTTTGGTGTTATAATAGACTTAATCTTGAACATGTTAATTTTGCTTGCTATATGTGACTACCACATATGTTTTAGCTCACTTATGTTCTTCTAAATATAAATGTTATAAATGTATCAATCTACAAACAACTTTAAGTCCTAATTATAAATCGAACCCTTGACTAGATTGTCAAATTAACATGTCGAATAATGAACTCAGACTACGAAAATTTCCACAAAATGAATGTAAATGCAATCTCAAGCTCACGTACTCCTAAGTATCCTCTTTGTTGTAAATTTTGCCATAGGGGAAGGCATTTCCAATGAGTATTTGAAGTTCAAGGAATGACTAGAGAAGTATGGTGATCACTTATTTATGATATGTGACTCCTTTAATATTGATGTTACCATAAGTAAAAATGGCAAAGGGAAATAAAAGAGTAGCTGCAACGAGTTTTGGTTTACTAGAACTCATATATACCAACATTTGTGGACCTTTCCTACAAGAACATTAGGACATAATCTGTTTATCAGTTTTATACATGATCATTCACACTATGTATTTGTATTTGATAAATGGAAATTTTGAATCACTTAGACATATTTAAGCCTTTATGGTCAATGTTTAAAATCAACTCGATCGTAAGATAAAAGTAATGAGATCAGATAGAGACAAATATCAGGGTAGAGATACTTATATTGGTCAGGGTTGTGGTCCTTTTTTTTTTTTTTTTTTTTTTTTTGCAATGAAGATAGGATTGTGACCAATTTACCATGTTACGTACTCATAACTTTAATGGTGTTTTTGAAAGAAAGAAATATAACCCTTATAGACATAGTAAGAAGTATATAGCAAATTCTAACTTACCATAATTCTTATGTGTCGAGTCATTAAAAACGACAACCCACATACTCAATAGGTTTCACTCTAAATCTATTCCTAAGACACCTTGTGAAACTTGGATGTTAAGGAAACTGAATTTGAAATATATATGAAAGTATGGGGTTGTCCTGACGAAGCTAAGCTCTACGAACGTCAACAAAGAAAGTATGGGGTTGTCTTCCTGAAGAGTCATGATGATCCTTTGAGTAAAAAACGAATAATAAAAATGGAGTTGTGAGGTCGGGCCTTTTATGCAAAAAACATACTCCAAAATGTTGCAGAATGCCGAGTGACCATTATCCACTAATATTGAAAATCTATAAATATAATATCAAAATTATGATGGAAATCATTATTAAGTAATGTAATATTTATGAAAAAAAAAACATGAAAAAGGTAACAAACTATAAATTGTATTTTTCGGCCACGTTCAAAGTGTTTGTTCAATTTATACCCATTTAACGTGTTAACGTTTGGTTAAGTTTTAAACATATTCATAATTTCATATAATAGGTGAAAGAGAAATGTAGCTTAAACCAATATTATATATAATAAAAAAAGAAAAAAAAAAAAAAAAACTATGCTTATAAATAGTATATTTCTGAATTTAAACTTTGATGACCATATATAGAAAATAAACTATAAAAATTGTTATAAAATGTTACTGTGTATTTTCTTTTTATGTTTGAGATTAGAATTTGGCCACTATATTTTTGTTTCTTGACAGTTTTAATCCCTATGAAGAAAATAAATTACAAAAATTCTCCCTATAATTTATAGAAAATATCCCTACACATTTTGTTTTTACATAAATGATCCATATTTTTAAATAATATACTTTTTGATCCGCATGCTTAAAAAATTTTAAAATGGTCCCTACCTAATAGAAATTTTACATATTACACCTCCACAAAACCGACATAAGTAGACTTCCAGCCTACATCCCAGTGAAGCGCGGAAAGGACAATTGCTAGTTATTATAATTATTGTCAATGGAAATCTAGCAATTAAAATGAGGAAAAAAGATATTATATAGACACTCTTCTAAAGGGTTACAACACCAATTCACTCAATTTAATCTTGTATCTTTTTTCTTCTATAATTACAAGACATCGAAAAGAAGATTGAAATTGCAATGAGAGAGATCAATATTCTTATGGTAAAAAACCTTGGCATTTAAAACATGTCAAATCAACCAAAAGTTTGTGAAAATAATCGTATAAAAAGCTTCGAAAGATTTACAAAACAAACCCAAAAAAATATTTCATTGAAATATTGCGGTTGTTAATTCCCTACCAATTGAAAACTTCACCAATCAAATGTTTTGTCACCTCGTACAACAAGAAATGTTCTTTGGATTCAATATTAGATTCACAAAAGGGACAAAGTTTTGTTGTTTCGGTATTATACTTTATTTTCTTTTTGACAAACATAGATTGATATAAACACTAAAAATTATGGTTATGTGGTAAATATTATTGAATTCGTGTTAATCTATTATACACTATCTCTGTATTTCATAATTACTTTTTATTTTTATTCTATTTTTTCCACTTTATATCAATCCACTTTTAGTTTCTTAATATAAACAAAAGAAACTCGTAAATCGTAATTATAACATTTTATTCCTCTTGCCATGCGCTTTTCAAGTTAGTCAATGTATTTTAATTTGCAAGCATAGCCACATGGACTTTTTCTTACCTTAAAATAAATACAATAATTATTACACTCAAAACAATATTCATATCTTGTGAAGTATAAGTATACATTTACATTTCACAAAATTCTTAATACTTTCACAAAATCATATAAACTAACTTTAATCTACAAGTTCTCAAGTCCACATCGAAACACAAATTACTCAACATTAACATCTACCAAAAACCCAAATAACAATAACAAAATTTAAACAAATCTAATAAACAAAAACCCCAAAAAAACAAATTTAATCAAATGTGATCCAAATCTTCTTCTTGTTGTTCAAGAACAATACTCAAAAGAGCAAGTCTATAAGATGTAGATCTAAGATTTCTTGTTAAAACATACAACTCCTTCTTCCTCTTCTTTAAAGGAACACAACTCCACTGTTCATGTCTAATATGAGCAAGCAAAACCGCATCACACAGACCCCCAGCCACTGGTTTCTTGCTGTAAAAGTCAACAAAAGTCAACTTCATCACTCTGTTTGACCCAAAAAGTCAAACCTCAACACAATGTAATTTATGGTTTATACCTTCCTCGAACAAATCCACTTGTCACAAAACCAATTGGCCACCTGTTAGACTCCATGGCTGCAGGATCTTCAGGAACTTGAAGCTTCCACTTTCCAGAATCTTCTTTCACAAAATACGTTGCTAATAATGACTGAGGTATTTGAAGGTCAACCTTGTTGTTTGACCTAATTCACAAATTACACGTCATTAAGATGAAATGTTATATCACTTATATGTAAAATTACGAAATTACCCTGAGGTCCAAAGCTTTATATCATCCATACGAGGTGCACAAACAAGAGCTCCATCTTCAATCACACCTTCTTTATACGCACGAAGAACAACTCTAACAAAACATAGTTTTTTTCTTGATCCATTTTTAAGAAAAGTTGATGTGTTTGGAACTTGATCAAGTATTTTCTCATCTTTGATGATTTTAGATAATTTGGACATGTTTTTGATTTTATCATGTGGGAAAAGAAGCAAATGATTGTCATTTATAGTGTTCAAGAATCCAGTCAGCGTTCTTGCTGACCTGGCAACAACCATGTTGGATTGTAATGGAATTGGTTCATTAGGGTTTGGGTTTGATCCGTATGCGAGTTGGATACAATTCCATGGGGGTAAAATGGGAATATTGAAAGGTTTCATGGAAACAGGACGAAGAGATGCTTGTTCATCAATGGTGGAAGCTTCGGCTTCCTTTAAAGAAGTGTAAGAATCACATTCGGGAAATTCAGATGGAAAATTTGGAATTCCAGCCTGGAAATAAAGTTTTTAACTTTAAATAATCAAAAAAAAAAAAAAAAAAAAAAAAAAAATTGTAATAACAATTAACAAATTGAATGACTTACTTCACAAGAAACCCAAGACCTCTCTCTTAAACCTATAGCTTGAGCTCCATTTGAGATAAGAGGAATCCAAAAGGCTTTGACCCAAGTCAAAGGAAGTATAATAGTCCACCTGGAAAAGGAAAATCATTAAACAATATTTTAATCATTTCAATTTTTTTATACAGAGGAAAATGAAAAAGAGTAAATTTTTATATAAAAAATAAAACCTTGTGATTGAATGATCCTTAAGGTTGTTTCTTTTTAAAAGAATAACAGGACAGAATCTTGAAGATTCCATCTTGGTTGTGGGGGTATTATTGTCATTTGAAGTTTTGTTGTTGAGACAAAAGGACGTGAGGCGTTGATGGTGTTTCTCCATACAAAGAACACTTTCTTCAACTGGACAAAACAGCCCTTTATTAGCATCCCATAACTCAGTGTAACTCGAGTCAAACTCAGTGTTATTGGTCAACACACGAGGATCATTGACTACAAGAGGAATTACTTCACAACATGATGTATCATCTTCATTCTTCACGATGGATGTAATTCTTGATGACATGCTGCATGATCATTCACAATATTAAAAAGATTAGATTAAAATAAATAAAGAAAACAATGAGTCACTCACCTGCTAACTGGATTTAGTATCTTGTGAAGAAGGTAAGATGCTTTTGAACCCATTACTTCCAATGTACCAAATTGCCCTTCGAGTGAGATACACTTAACTGAGTCAACATCCTCATTAACCTATTAAAAGAAACACATGATTTGGATTTTGGCATCAATCTTTAAAAAGAGTATTATAATTAAGAACTCAAATTTCTAGTTTTCTACCTTACCCTGACTTTCACAGGCGTTTTTCAGAGCATTGTAGCCTTCAGTTAAAGCTGCAGCATGTATCCATATCCACAACTGCCTGGAAGTTTGACCATTGTTGACTTTCACATGATCTTCAGATTCATCTATTGACTTCTGATTAGGTCTCCACATGTAAATAACAGGTGCAATTGTGTGTGAATTGGGAGTTTCAGAATGATGAAGCTGCAAAAGTTAATGAATTGGTTTACAAAAGATGCAGAAATATTAATTGTTTGTAAAGAGTTAAAGACAATGAATTACCATAGAAGTAGCATAAATACCACCAGAGATTACATTTTCAGCATCTGAAGGAGGAAAAGGTGACATTACAATGCTTAGAATCGACAATATTGAATCCTGAAATGACAAAATGAATGTCAAGGTGATGTTAAGATGGAAAAAAAAGAAGGGTAATTTGGTAAGTTTGTACATTACCTGTGAACCCTCTAACTGAACAGCAGAATAATAGCTTGCATCATGAACAACAGTTCCAGTTTTCAACCACTTCAAGAGAGCTCTTGAACCTCTTCCCCTTCATTAAACAAACCGAAAAATTATAAATCTATTGATACACAATAACATAAAAAGGGTAAAAGAGTAAAATCACTTGAATACCTGCCATGTAAACCAAGAGGAAGGTGGAAACCCCATCGTGTGATCATTGTGAATCTTTTTGCATACCAAACGTGTGTTCTAAGCCTTTTTGTCCCATTGCCTGAAGTGCAAAATCCAATTTTAGGGTTTTCCTTTAGCTCCTTTCTACGACGAATATGGCGAGGTGGAGCTTTTTTAACATGTTTTTCTGAATTTACATCACTATTTTGGTTTGAAACTCCGAATTTTTGCTTCTTTCTGAATCTAGTTTTGGAAGATTGATTGTCGTAGCTAGTAGTTCTTCTCCTTTTGTTTCTATGAGATTTGAAATTGTTGTTTAACCTTGTGGCAATGGTGGAGTAGAGAGACTCGAGTTCTGGAGCTCGGGATTCTGTGAATTTCTGCACAACAAGATCGGGTGGTGGTATAATTTTGCTTCTGTCAGTAGCCATTGTTGCAGATAGTAACCTGTTCAATATTGCAACAATCTCTTTATCGATTAGTTACTTGAGTACAGACTACCGAGTATAACAAATGTGTAGAAATTAATAGCTTGAAATCAGTGGCAAGTTGCATTACATACTCTTCTCGTGTGACAAAAAACAATATAATGAATATAACAACTAACAACTAACTTGAAATCAACAATTATTCGTTATTACTTGAAAAATCAACATACTTTCTCAATCCAAGTAACTCGGTGCCAGTACAAATTACTTGAATGATACGGATTTTCATACCAGCGATTTAGCAAAAAAACCAAAACATTTTTATCAGATTTTCATAGTCGTGATTTAAGAGAAAGATACATACATCTTTCCCATTTGCGGCTTGATACAGCAGCGTTTGTATGGAGAGAGAGAGAGAGAGAGAGAGAGAGAGAGAGAGACTCAACTGCGATTAGGGAAGCTCTTGCCGGAGGAACCGCAGGCTGACGACGTCGGGCTGGAGAAAGGAGAAGACGTCGAGGTGAAAGTGGAGAGCTGGAGAAGAAGAGTGCATCGGCCTATAAACCCTTTGACAAAGGTTTTACCCTTTATATTATGGTAAATTACACGAGTGGTCACTATGGTTATGGTAATTGGTGTTTTGTTCCCCAAACTTATTTTTTAAATCCGATAATCTTTATGATATGTTTTTTTTGTTACATCATTGGTCCTTATTAGATTTAACTTATTTTTTAAATCAGGTAATCTTTATGGTATGTTTTTTTTTGTTACGTCTTTGGTCCTTATTAGATGTAAAAAGATTATTATGCACTTGATAATTTTTTTTTCTACTTTATATTATTTCTTTATTTTTAAATTAAAAAAAAAAATAGAAAAATAAAATAATCTCCACCCACCACTACTTTGAATTTAAACAATAACAACTTTTCTAAACGAATTAGACATGAGTGGTTGGTGGTTTCCGGTAAGCATCTGATAGTTATATCAAAGTTGTGAAGTCTAAGTATCATTGAATCTCTTAATCTTCAAGTTCTAGAACTTGATTCGGATATTTTTATATGTTTAATTTGATCACCGATTCAATGCTGACTTTTTTTGGTGGTCGGAATTTAGTAAACTCACCGTCATATAGAGACGAAGCAATGGAATTCTCAAAAAACACTATGGTGTTGTTAGCATCAAATTGAGATAGTATCTCTGCCAAAGAATATGGTTTATCTTTGTTTTCATCTCTCGTGTTCTTAAATCCTAAAAACCCAACATCAACATTTATATCTTCATATTAAATTTGAATAGGATCCGTAAAATAAAAATCCTTAAAACCCCAACATCATTATCATCCTCTCCATATCAAACCCTAAAAACCCAGCATTATATCTAGTCAATGTCTTGATGAAAAAAGAGGATTTCTCAAAGAAAAAAAAAAACTTAAATCCCAATATCATCATCATCATCTTTCATATCAAACCCTAAAAACCCAACTTCGGAATGAGTCAATGTCTTGGAGAAAGAAGAGAATTTCTTAAAGGTAAAAGCCCAATCTTAGCATAAACTTCACTAGTGTTGGAGTTTAGAATCCGCATGAACTTATAGTTGGTACAAAATTAGAACGATGGTGGATGGCACAAAATTCGAGCAGTGGTGTTAAGAGATGTGGATATGCGATAACGATAATCCGATAATAAGGGGCGAGGGTGGTCTTATTGCACAGTAGTGACGACGGTCGTCCAGTAAAGGAGGCAGCGACAATCAATAGGTAAATGAGGGCAACGACATTTCGAAATAGGCATTCCAAATAGAGAAAAATACTTTTCTGACATATATATATATATATATATATATATATATATATATATATATATATATATATATATATATATATATATATATATATTAGATTGAAATTTTGGGATTTCATACTAAAATATTGAATTCAAGGGAAAAAACTCATGAATTTAAAAAACAAGTTAGAAATTCGATGAACAATTCCGAAATTTGGAGAAAAAAATTATTTTTATTTAAATCTAACAAAAAGTTAACATAGTAAATGTGAATTATACATGATATTAAGACATAAAATAACACATTTGATTGAAAAATGATGTCACTAGACACTTTGACATGAATATTTCAGAAACAAGTTAAATATATATATATATATATATATATATATATATATATATATATATATATATATATATATATATATATATAGATCAATTATAGCATGAAGCATTCGAAAAAAAGTGGTCATTTAAAAAAATAGTTATTTTATCTGAAAAACTCATTTATAATATTTAGTTACCGGGTATCCTTAGATAATATCTAGTTTAGTTTAAGAGGGGTGGGGTTATTTTATATATATATATATATATATATATATATATATATATATATATATATATATATATATATATATATATATTTCAAAATGATAATCAAATAAGAGTAAATTAAAAAAGAAATTATTAATGGTATAATAGTCTTTTTTATGTTTGGAATAGACCAAAGATGCAAGAAAAACACATAATGAGGAATGTCTGAGTTAAAAAAGAAAAGGTATGGACGAATTACATAAGTTACCCTAAACCTCATGGATCATCCGTATAATTTACTCTATATAATATTTGATAAAACTGCAAAAATGAACCATAGTTCATATAACCCATCATTTCCAATAAGACCTCCACTCACATCATCTCCATTATGAATATCACCGACACCATCGTGAACATCACTACCATGTGTTTCATCCGTTATAACCTAACCACACCCCATATATAGCCACATAGGTGGATCTAGTATGTAATATGGAGTAGCACCAGCTACCTTTTAAATTTTCTCGTCAAACGTAAATTTAGTGAAAAATCGTCAAATTCAATTAGAAATCCGTCAGATATCTGTAGGAAATCTATCACGAATCTATCACAAAGTCTGATAAGTATAAATTTAGTGTAAATTCGTCGTTAATGACACTTTTGTGACAGAAACTACATTCAAAAATGAGTTTTTTTTCCAATTAATGCAACACTTAAAAATTTTATACAACACTGATTTTCTTGTTAGTCCACCACTGTCTAGCCACCTGCAACACCACCATCCAACTCACCCATCCCATCTTCAAATCTAAAGTAAGACCATATGGTGACTTAGAAACAAACATATAAAACAATCATCTAATAACAACATACAACCAAAATGTAAAGTGGGTAAGGCTAATCTAAATAGTTAAGGTAATCAACTAAAAAGCCCTAAACTACAACAAACCTTTATATTAATTAAGCCCCGAACACAAATATTGAAAGCAAAACAACAATAAAACTTCAGATAACATAAATTGGTTCCCAAATTGGAAAAAACTCGGAATCAAAACCAGGGTATTCGGTCTAGTTCTACATTCTCCATTTTCCACTAAATCGGTTCCCAGACCGGGTTCAAAACCGAACATGTCATTAAAGAGCACACTTACTTGTAGAATCGATCCGCAATCGATCGGAACTAGAACAGGGTATTCGGTTTGGTTCTTAGTTCTCCATTTTCCAATAAATCGGTTTCCGGTTCTTCGGTTCGGTTCTTGGTTCTAGATTCTCGGTCTGGTTCCGGACCGATGCTATCCTTAGTTGTAACCCTGTTACGGTAGTTTTGTCTATGTACTAATGTACTAGGCAATAGATTATTTAAAGTAGGATTACATTTAAAATACAAAAGAGTTCATTTTTGGTTTGTTTACACATGGACAAAAATTAGAATCTCAAAATAAGAAAAAGATTGAATGTACAATATTATATTTAGGTAGATTTTTCAAAGTACAATTTCTTAATAAGAAAAATATTGAATGTACAATGCTATATGTGGGTACACTTCCAAAGCACAATAAAAATAAAAATAGTATAATGTTGCAAAAGAAAGAAATGAAAGCATGATGGTATATTAGTACACAACTTCTTCATGAAATGGGCCAAGTATTTGGTTGTTCATTGTTGGGCTTCTACATATAATGTAGCTCGTTTGTATTTACATGGGTCAAAAGATGGACTACTTAAATGTGAAATTATATATTGAAAATAATTTTTTGCTATTAGATTAGCTACACTTTGGTAATTGAACAAATCACCATAAACAGCTAATTAAACATCTTTACTCCTCAAAATACAATGCTAGTACACTTTGGAACCATGATGAATCTGTTAAGTGTCTTGTGATCTTGTCAAATGTCAATGGCTATGAATCTTGAATAAGGGGTTGATAGAAGAGCTTGTAAGCCTCCAAAACTTCCAGATACCACATTGCTTCTCGATGGGGAAAACCAGAAAGATCAACAATTTTGTGAACCTGAAATCGTAAGAATAGGGCACAAACACAGAATTACACAAAGTATTGAATATGGAATTATGCAATGAGAATCCAATGATAAAACCAAAGAAAATCATGATGAAATTAATGTATTTTGCCTTGATTAAGGGGAGATCGTCTTGACGGATACTACACCCTCCGACAACCATTACATATGCACCTGCAAATGAAACCAATCAGAACAGTAAAACTTGAGAAATAAGAACAGAAGAAACACCAAACTTGGTGGAGGTTAGTAATGGCGACCTAATTTCCAGTCGCGATTTAGGAAATCGCGGGAGAGAGAGAGTTCAACCACGCCTGTTCCGTCGTCAACGAGAAAACGTCCAGTGCCGCCGTTGGTAGAAGGTAGTGAGATTACGACGCCCTATATCTCATTTGATCAAATCGTGATTTCAATAAGAAAAAAAGGAAAAGGAAGGGATGGAGAGTGGTGGCGCGTGTATGTGTACCTGTAACCACGCGCGTTGGAAGAGTATAGGGCCGAGAGAAATGGAAGATTGAGATGAGTCGTTAGTGGCACGCGCCGCCTTCAATTGGACGCATAGCAGCTTCAGTGCCGCTAAACTGTAGTCCATCTTCTTCTTCTCACCTCTGACTCCGAACTGTAATAAACTAGTGGGCTCGTTAATTCACTATTCAATGGGCTTGTAATTCATTAATGGGCCTCCACATAGAGGTAATGGCAAAAAGAAAAAAAAAACTATATAACATTAATTGATTGTTTTGAATAAAAAATCCTTCTCGTTTTCATTATACGAAAATCTTCATGTTTTAATAAAAAAAATAGGTTTTTTTTTTTTTTTTTTTTTTTTTGTCATGCCTTATCTTATTAGGTTTTTAACTAATATCATATTATTTGTTAAACTTATTCTTCATTTCAAATTTCAAGTTTTAAAATTTTCATCTAAATACATTAAATTAAAACATTAAAATAAAAATTAAAATAAAATTAATATATATTATTAGATCATGTAATTATTTAAATCAATGATTATAATTTTATATAATTAAAAAAAATATATTTTAATTAATATTTTATTTAAAATACTTGATTAATAATTTTGAGTTTTTACTATGAAAATTTAATTAATTTTGTAATCAAGGTTCCATATGTTATAAACTAATGATAAATATATATAAATCATCTGCAATTCTTAAACAAATATTAAGTAAGGTTTTTTAGAGTAAGTTCATATACAGGTATACCTATAAAGGAGTTTATTGGAGGAAAAAAAAAAGCCCAGCTAGGTATTAAACGGGCTTTGAACAAAATAAAAGCAAAAGGATGTTTTGGTATAACTTTTTGGTCTTTTAGATAACACTCATTTATCAAGTTTCCCTTCAAATTTAAATATAACTTTTTGGTCTTTTAGATATAAGAATACATGTGAAAAAGCCTAGTCGTTAAAAAAACTGTTAAAACCCTGATTGTCCAAAAAAAAAAACTACGAAGAAGCTTGCACGGAAAAAGCTTCAAGGTGTATCGTGAATAGTTCGCAAGATTAAAATATATTTGGAAATATATGGATAAAATTAACGAACTATTTTTGTCGGAAAAAAAAAAATCATCTTGTGAATTCACGAGACTTTTCACGATTTATATGGTTATTTTGTATATGTATATCTCTTCCCGCAAATGGTTGATTTGATGAATAGTTATTAATTGATTAGTTTAGGTTCTTTTAGTAGCCAATAATATAAATTTCGGATAACAATAAAATGACCAATCGAAATTAAAATATCTAAATCTAACTCGTTTTTTTAGAGTTTTCTAAAATAATTTTGTTTTTCTCGAAACTCCACATATTGGACATGTATTCCCAATATTGGATCAAACATTTCATTTTTCAAAGTGTATTTGTCCTTGAGAAATCATTTTTATGAATCACATGTTCATAAGAAAATGGGTGATCCATGATTAAGTGGTTGAACTCTCAAATGTATGTGCATAAACATAAAAATCAACTTTTTATAGATGTTATAGTGGTATTCATGCTAGATTTTAAGCTTAGATTGAAAAAAATTCATTTAAATATCCTTTTAGTTGCCCATATTTTAAAATAAGGATGAAGATTATGAGTAAATAACTACCCAAAGTTTGTATTAAAAAAATTATTGAAATGCGTACTCAAATGAATAAAGATAATTTAGCATCATTTTAGTAAACTAGTGTTTAAAAACGAATTGAAGCAAAACAACTCTAGTTTGGTGCTTTTAATTGTTCTATTTCTTTGTGACTTTAATCGGGTTTTAGTGGGTTCATTATTTTTAAGAATATTTATTATTTGGATAAAAGTGAATTGTCCAATTAAACCGTTGGTTGGATGTTCGGATTTTTGAATTGATTTTCAACAAAACCAAATTATTATTTTGGATTTCAATTTAGTTTTGGTTTATAAAATAGGAACCGAATAGTCAAAAAATCGAATACCAATTTATTATTTACTTATTTTTAATATATCTATAATTATTTATTAATTTATGTTTTCATATAGGTTCAAAACGTTTGACCTAATAAAAAATATTAATGTGCATTTACTCTTAAACATTTTTTATCTATTAAATATTAAACTATAATATAACTTCTTAATTGTTTATAAATTTTTAATCACAACAAAATAATTTGTTTTTACTTATTCTGTAAAACTGGATAATATTATAATTGTACGTCATTTTAAAATGTTCTATTTTTTTAAAACCAAATTATAAAAACCGATCCAAACGAATTGTAATTGGATTCATTCGGATCGGATTGGATTTGAATTTAATTTAGACTATTCAAATCGATGTTTTGAAACCCCAGATTAATTTGAATTTATTTAATTAGATCAAATCGAATCGATCCATTCAAACGAACACTGCTAATTATTTTGATATTTTGTTAAGACAAGTCATGTGAGGGATTATTGTGATTGTAGTTATGTATTGAAGGCCCTGTTCGTTTCGGTATACTAAATGAAAATGAAAACTTTGTTTCTTTTTTTAATTATGAAAATAACATTTCAGTGTTTGTATTAAAAATGACAAATTAGTATGAAAATGACATATATGTATGCAAATTACTAACTTATAGTTTGGCTTAAAAATACAAAATACAAAGTATGATGTTTACCGTAACATTTTTACCGAAAATACATCAATAATGTTAAATAATTCAACCATATATATTAATCTAAAAAAAAAAAAAAAACCTTAACAATCTAAGTATAAGACACGTTGGGACTCATCTATAGTTTGTGAAGTTTAAATCATACCGACCTTATAGTGAAGATCAAATATTTCTATACGACTTTAAGATAATTCATGGCATTGTCGGTCAATATAATTCGGTCCTCTAGTGGTAGATTCGACATAACACACAACTTCAATTCTTTAAATTGAATTCATGAACGCTCCATATCGTCATACATGTTAATTGTGACATCCCTAATTTCACGGCCAGAAAATACCGATTTGTTTATGCTTTATTTTATAAAATCAGAGTAATCATTTGATTAAAAAAGTTGCGAAATTTGTTCTCAAAATATGATAAAGATTTATCAAAGCATTTCCGTAAAAATGTATTTCATTAAAAAGATTCAGGATGTTTAGTTCGATACAGACCAAAAGCATAAACATAACAAAATAGACCTTACAACATTTATTTATAACTACCGGCCTATAATCCAAAATCTCTCGTTATGTCAACCAACTTATGCTCCCGTGCCATAACCTGTAATACAAAGAAAACCGAGTGGGTCGGACTTGGGAGTCTGGTGAGCATATAGGGTTTTCAACCCACAATGTTATATCATATATGTATGTATGTATGTATGTATGTATGTATGTATGTATATATATATATATATATATATATATATATATATATATATATTATAACTCACAAACTTATACAAATTCACCATACAAAACAACTCTTATCCCACCCCGTCGATCCTCACAATGACACGATCTGATCTCTCGTATCAAAATTTACCTATTTACCTGATCCCTACTCATGGATCTAAAACTAACCTCTTGATCTGATTCATACTCTCGAATCTAAAACTAACCTGTTGATCTAATCCATACTACCGGCTCTAAAACTAACCTCTTGATCTGATCCATACTCCCATATCTAAAACTAATCTCCTGATCTAATCCACACTCCCGGACTAGGGACAATTAACTATGTCTTAATCCATACTCCCGGATTACTAACAAGTTTATCTCGTTTATTGACAGTATCGTTTTCGAGACCCCTCTCGCAATACGTGTCAATGGGGGGTTTTTTTAGAGTACACCGGAGAACATCAAGTTCACAATACCTACAAATTGTGAGTCTGCTAGTGTTCCACTGGACTGTCTAGAATAGTCTGTGGTTGTCATCCCTACTCTGCTGAATGACGGGGGACATCGTTTGGGTAAATGTTTCACTCATTTTTCACATGTCATCCTCACTTCAAGATCTATATCACCTTTCATCTCATTATCCAACTCATCTTTTATCACACACCAACTATTTCATCTACCTCTGTTCTACCTAACATATTTGTAGATATAAAACACATATACAGTTTAACTCATTTGAAAACTATATAAAACATCCATTCCATACTCATCTCAAATAAACAACAATATATAAACACATAGCAAGTTTCTCATAGCAAATACTTCATATGTTATGTGTTAGAAGAAAGTGACTGCACATTCACTCATAACATATTCAACTAATACTTGTATTAAAATCGTGTTTATGAAAGGGACTATACACTCACTTGATAAGACGATGATCGGACAACACCTCGTCTTTTAAAATAATATTCTTCGCTGAAACCAGGATGTTTTCTGCAAAATCGGGCTTTATGCGGGCATAATTTTGGCTCGAAAACTATTTTTCTCGGGATCTTCGGGGCTTCCTTCAGGTGCTAGGGGTTTTACCTAGGCTTAGGAAGGGGTTAGGGATCTTAGAGAGAGAAAGAAGTTGGAGAGAGAAGAGGAAATTGTGCATGGAACTCGGCAGCCTTCGCTGCCTTTTATAGGCCCTCAGACCTCGGAACGTTGGGCGTTCGGAAAGGCTACGCTAGGCGTAGCTTCGGATAAGACTGCCAACGAGCTTCCAACTGTCTTGCACTCAGAACGGATAAGAACCAAAGTACGCTGGGCGTACTTGGCCTCGGACGTGGGGCATAGCGAAGGGTGACGCGTCGCAACCTGAAGCGAGGCTAGATCATCATCGGACGACTTGAAATTGGCCACGACATCAACTTTGCATCATGTTTTGCATTTTCGAGTTCCAACTTCAAAAATTCGTATCTTCCTCATACGAGCTTCGTTTTCGATGTTCTTTATATCCACGCATAGAAGGGAACGTACTCTACAACTTTCGGTTAGACTCCATCGGCTAATTTTGACTCTATTTTAAAGGTTATATTTTTAACAGGCCGAGACACGATTGGTCCGTTAAAATTCATAACTTCTTCATCTGACATCCATTTTCATCTGTCTTTTTATCGATACACTACTATTAATGTGATCTTCGATCCTCATTTAGGTTGTGTCGGCTAAAACCGCTCGATCTAATATTTGAATTCCGGGTTGTACACTGCTAAGTCGAAACTTCAAAAAATCATAACTTCCTCATACGAAGTCAGATTGGGGCGTTCTTTTTATGTACACT